GTGGTAACCGTTACGCCCACCTGGGACGCCCGAGTCGGTACGGCACTTGCGGTGTCGTAACCGGATCGGCGGGAACCAGCAGAACGCTGTTGGACCGGCGGTGAAAGTCGGAACCGAGCACTCGCCCACCAGTGGGGCGTCTGGTCGAGCAGGTCTACCCGCTAAGGCAGCCTGAGCACGAACCAGTGGCAGGGTCCGATCAATGACCGTGGTCCGACCAGGGTGTCAGCGCAATGGCCAGTCAGAGGCGTCTTTAAGGGCGCGGAAGCCCACCTCGGTCGACTGTGGCCGGTACAACCTAGTCAGGTCGTTTGTGTGAATCTCCGTGTTCTTCCATCGCCTCAGAGTAGCCGCTCTTCTCCAAATGCCCGAGCCGTTTTCTATGTGTATTGGTCTTGCAGCGAACAGCAGAGTCGAAAAACGAATTGACAATGTCGCCGAAAACCGCGGTCACATGCTGGCCGTCCCTAGTACTACCAATATGCCCGCAGGCGCGGCGAGAGACAAGCTCAACGTATGAGTCACCGTCCGGCTGCCGGGAGAGCCCCTACCGCGACCTTTGTCCACAGTCATGACGTCGCGACAATGGGCTCCTAAACGTACGGGCAGCGGCCGCCTCAGGGGTGCCGCCGTGACCTTTGCACGACACGTTCTATAGCGTATGGCACAGCGGTTACTAGGAAGGTTGAGGCCAGCGGCAGGCCGGTTTACAAATAACAAACAAACTTGACGCGCAATTGACAACAGGTAACAGATTGATTAATAAAGCGGTGACAATATAAATGAAAATGACAACATGAAATGACAAATCGCATAGATGATCCCTACAATACAATGTGCCTATCATCATTGACCATGACTCCATCGCTAGAGTGAAGATTTTATGGGGCCGTACTAACAGCGTATTTACAAACTGCAACCGAGCTCCGCCGTAGGGTATTTTATTTCCGCCGTAGTATATTTCAGTTGGGGTATTTTCTACCATACATCTGCCTGAGCTTGAGGTAATTACAATTTGTCGGCGACGTTAAAAATGATGCACCTTTTTTCGCAGTATAGGTTATCGCATGTGCATATTTTAGCCTTTTTGGTTGCGCTTTTCCCTTGCCCGTATAGGGGTAGGCGTTGAGCGGACCCCATCGGTTTTTCGTGAGTAACTCGCGTAAAAACCGTCCGATCGCGACGAAACTTTCAATACCCCTGATTTTATCAATTTTACTCCTACCCTGAAAATTTCATGACCCTGACCCAAATGACCTTTGACCTGTGACCTATTTCTCGAGACCATGTTTGGCCCGAATCGCGATTCGGCGTATGTCGGCTCGCATTAGCCGCGCGTTTGCAGTCTTTACGTGGTTTCAAGCGTTGAAACATGTTATATGATACTGGTCCCATGCATTAGGATGGGTGTCACATGAAGGTCAGGTCAGCTCAATGACCTTTAATGACCTCGGCTCACTTTTTCGAGTTTAGCATGTTTCTAGGCTAGTTTTTGGAGCTGATTTCGAATTTAGCAACCATTTGAACATTACAGGGGGTGTAACGAAATTATCCGGACATCTTTCTTCCCGCTGTAATTAAAAAGCAAAACATTGTGGTACTTTTTATTTTGACTGAGCATGTAGCCACCTTTCATAAACACACAGTGGCGAATGTTTTGGAGCATTTCAGCCAATGGATTCTCCAGCACACTGGCTTTGATGCGGACCAACGCCGTCTAAACCTGTGCCTGCGGTTGGGTGGTGCTTGTGGCGGGCGTCTCTTCAGTCACCTGCTGAACAAGAGCCCACAGGTTTTCGATTGAATTGGGATCGCGACTTTTTCCAAGTCATAAGCGTTAGCCCAGAATGATTGAAGGTTCTATCGGCATCACTTCCCGTTCTTTTAGGGACTTTTTAAGTAGCGCACCGCCCCGCATGAAGACAGCGTGGCTTGAATCAGGCATCAGTGCGCGTTCAGAAACCGAGCCCTCCTATACCGTCTGGTTGAGCGCCTCCGACTATTCATTGGCCAGTATGTTTCTCCGGTAATACTTACGTTGATGGTGGTATTATGTGACACTATGTCCTATTGGAGGATCGCTAAGCAGCTGAACATGCTCCAGTTCTGGATATTGTCCGGATGTTTGACGGCGGCGAAGGCCAGCAAGTTCGAGCGGCTGGCCGCCCATACATGGCCGATTTGACGGTTCAAAGGATAATATAGCTCGAACGGCTACCCATCCAACCAGACCACCTCACCCTTATCATTCTTCAACCAGTGGACGCGATCTGGCGTGAGGCGAAAGGTGGTGAACTGGTTGTTTTCCCGTCAGTTTCGTTGTCTTTTTCAGTTTGAAGGGCACTAGAACCAAGTTAAAGGGCGGGTAGCGGTAAACCATGATATGGGATCTCTTATTATCTGACTTGGTAAGAATTCGAGTCAATTTGCGGATTGGTTGGTGCCGTTTCCTTGCCGCTATCTTGATGACTCTCCTCACCACTTGACAAAGGGCGGCTTTTGTGGTCGCGACCAACCGATAGAAGAGGCACGTATTCATCCAATATTCCCACTTCTAACATCAGAAAGGATTAGAAAACTGTGCAAACAGATATGGCGAAAAAATAGATGTCCGGAATCGTTACACCCTGTACTGAAGTAGTTTTAGTGCCTTCGTGACATGTTACGAAGCTGTCAGAGAAAAAATAGCGTTCTGCCCCTCCAACTTTTGCTTATTTGTAGAGCTTCGTTGCTTAGCAAACCACTATGTTGTTCGCATTGAGGAGCTTTGAAATGTCTGTGTAATTCAAAATGTTAGTTCTGTAATTAAAAGAATTGATTCAGTGTTGCACATAATCTAACTTAACAACCGAGCATTGCAGGTTTGACAGCTTTTTGCCCCACCAGCACCACCTTCCCTGGAAAAGCTCCACCCTTGCCTATGGGGCAAAACATAAGGGACAAAAACACAAAACAAGACAGATAAAAAACAAAACAAAATGAACTTATTACCAAAATCAACCTGACCAGGTCTTACGGTCTGACCTGATCCTAACCGCCTTACTTCACCTAACCTAACCTACCTAACCTAACCAATTCAACCTAACCTACCACAACACCTGCAGAGGTACCTTCCTGGAAAATGACGCCCAGGGAGCTGTCCAACTTATTGGAATTTTACCATGATTGCTTGTCAAAATGTGTGTCATCATGCTCTTGTTTGACAAAAAAAGTGTAATAAATGTGACATTCAAAAATGGTCTCCTGACTGTTGAGTGATCAGAATATTCAAATAATCATGGTACAATGCTGTGCATCATAGTCCACACTAATCATGTTGTTTTTGTGTAGGCCCTATGCGCATTATTGTGTACACTGCCATGTGCACCTTAAGGAAAACAAGTGACTGGTGGTACATGAAAAAGGTTGTGCAACTGTGAAGTTCATGCCCTTGGTCTTGCTGGAGTCAAATGCCTATAGCTATAGCAGGATCATACACTGTGAATTGAAGATATTGGCACAAAGTTCATCCATAATTACTATGCTTAACACCTGATGTAAGAAGCAACATAAATGCCCAGATGATACAGCTCTCTGGTCAACATCACACAAATTTATTGACATACTTTGCAGGTACATATTTACAATCATAGCAAATACTTTCGATTTGATTCAATTACTAGGTGCTAGTAAGCTTGCATTTTTGTAGGTACAATGAACATATATTTAATCATAAAAAAACTTTCTTGTGGCAATGGCATTCATCACATACCTTTTTTCCGAACAAGTACCTATCTACCATGCAATGATTCTAAATTTTATCCGCAATCCACCAATATCTCAACTGACACATTGAAATTGAAATACCCTTACAAAACCTAGAACTGTACAAAAGAAGAATGCAATGTTACAAAAACTATGAAGTTCTGAAGTTATTCTCACATGCTGGAATGTTGAAACTCTACTTTTGTCGTCCATTTCCACGTTTGATTGTGATTGAGCCATCATATAGAAGTGTTTTCGCTCTTCAGTCAATAAGCTTTTGCACAAATCTTGAATTTTTACACATCATCTTGAACCATGCTCCAGTCTTTCCAACAAGGTACCATGGAACATCAAAGCAATTTTGATTTGTTACAACAGCTTCAGATCATAATAGGCTTGAAGTTTGTTACACCATTTGCCAGACAAAGCTCTACAAAATGTGTATCAATTCCCAAACTAAGCTATTGATTATATCAGTATTTGCAGTTTCCACACAATGCTTCATAATATTATTCGATTTTTATATCAAGAAACCCAAATAATCCACAAATTGTTATTGAAACACTCCCACACTTCAAGAGTTCACAGCAATAACAATACAAGTTCAGAAGCAAATAAACATTGCGCCAGATTTCGTATGAAACGCGCCATCATCCAGAAGTTTCTACCACAGACGGTAGCTCAACCGCAGCCGTAGTGCGAAAACCCCTGCCCACCTTACCCCACGGCGGAGCTCGGTTGCAATTTGTAAACTGTTCGTACTAACAACTGGATAAAATCAGCTGGCTGGCCAGCTGGTGATGTACAATAGCTATGTTATTATTGATATAAACATGATGGACAGGAACACGTGAAATGGCACTCAAAATTAAAAGATAGATATTTAGTTATTTGTATCTGGCATTGATATATCACTGGGGGAACTATGGTAAAATCTGCTATTTTTAGCAGTCTGCTATTTATAGCAGAAATCTGCTAAAAATGGGTACGCATGTGACGTCATCGTACCCAAATATAGCAGATTTGGGTACGGCCCCATACAAAAGCAGATCTGCACCCTAATTGAAGCAAATGCGCATCAAATGCCTGGCAAATTCATGATGAGAATAGTGCTGAGAGTGATCTCTGCTATTTTTGTTCAGATCCGACTATTTTCAAATTCATTATTTGAAAATAGTCGGATCTGAATGAAAATATCAGAGGACATTCTCAGCACTATTCTAATCATGAATCTGCCAGGCATTTGATGCGCATTTGCTTCAATTAGGGTGCAGATCTGCTTTTGTATGGGCCGTACCCAAATCTGCTATATTTGGGTACGATGACGTCACATGCGTACCCATTTTTAGCAGATTTCTGCTAAAAATAGCAGACTGCTAAAAATAACAGATTTTACCATAGTTTCCCCAACTGATATAACAAGCTCTGCTGGCGCCAGCTGGCCAATCGTCCAGAAAATAGTACGGCCCATTTTATGTCGGCCGGCCAATCCCGTTCAAGGTCAGCAGGGGCTTGGCTGCGGTTATGGAACGTGATTGGCCAGATGACGTAGAATCTTCATGGTCTGATTGACATCATGCGGAGGGTTGGTCCTAGTGATATGGGCAGCACTCGGTGTGCCGTGTGAAGTTGGTGTCGAGCATCATGTGCCTTTAGGCTTTATGCTGATTACTGATGAGATTGATTGATGACTGATTAGAGTCTTTTAAGCTTTTATGTCTTCCTGCTTCTTTGTTTTGTTGATACATTAATATATGACAAATAAATTGCTGCCTATCACATAGCAAGGTAAGTGCTTCACTTTCCATTTTCCAAATATATGAAACCCAACTAACTAACTTCTGTTTGTTTCAGGTTGGACAGCAAATATTGTTTGAACAAATTTCCAAATGGAAGTAAGTTATTTATAGCTTTACAGTAGGTATAAGTTATAACTGAAATAATCCTTCTTTATCAGGTGATATTGCTTTATGTTTTGCAAAGTGCTCAGCTGCCTAAGCTGCTATCATACTTAACATAACCTAACCAATTCTTCCCTTAGTTTGGACTGATTCAATTATTTTTTAACATTTTTTTTACTTACTGTTAAAAAAAAAAATGTGAAGATGCATAGGTACCAGGTGATTTAACTAACACATACTTCTAAGGCGCTGCTAGTGCTATTGTATTTTATTCTTCTCACATCAGTATTTATCTATTCATGCTCTGCTAAGGCTGCTTCTCAATATTTCTATGCATTGTAGCAATCTGAGCAAATATAAAAAATTCCCTGGTAGTAGTTTTAAACAAAATTTGCAGTTTTTGTGATTTGTGAATTTTTGCATACTGATGCTTTGTCCTAATCATTGTCTTCTGAAAATCTTCTGTAAACCATCTACATGCCACATACAAATCTTATGTAAGTCTATGTTTATGAGTCTTCATCCAGCCCATTAGACTGGGATCTTTTGACCCCTCACCCACCATCCTCTCAGCCCCTAACTTACTCATGAAATGTGACTGGAAAATCTCACAGGTCACAGGTCTGCTCAAAACCATATAGGCAGACTGCTGCATTGACTTACCTAGACTCCCATCCTAAATCTTTCCTAATTTGGAAAAAGTCATTTATCTGCTAGTAGGAGCAAAAAAAAATCGTGCTTGATATCTCTTCTTAAAGATAGCCAAGTGCTGATATCCAAGGAACAAATACATATAGGTATACTCTGCAGTCAAGCAGCATGATGTCCTTTTTGTATGATAGACTTTCCATGGATCTCCAACAAAAAGTGTGAAGTTTTTTCATGCAATGATAGGGGAAAGGGCGGGAGTGCGATCCGTGGGATAGCGTTAGGGCATTGGGAGCGGACCCCTTACCGTCCCGGTGTCATTTGCCAAGGGCTGGTCACGGGTTGTGTGGGATAAGGGTGATGGGGTCACGCCGTGTGGTATCAGGTGTGGTAGATTGGAATGGACAAAGGTTCGTGGCCGAATACATGCGTAGACGGAGTGATTTTCCGATGTGAAAAAACTAGGGACGAAATGTAGCGGATACGAAGGAATGCAAATAGGAAGAAGTGCTGATGACGTACGTTTTATAATAAATCATAGACGAAATCAACGCCATGCTAAAAATGTCGCGACACTTGTGAAAAATTATGCGCAAAAAGCGCTGGAGGAATTCATGTCTTTACGACTCATTCACGCTTCAGTCTTGCTATGGGACTGAATGAGTTACGAGTCTTACTATGAGATTAAATTTATGTGCCAATCCCGGCCCCCCTTCATTCCTCCCCATTTCCGGTGCCCTGACTCTGACAACTCCATCTCTGCCCCGCAGGTGTCACAGGACCTGGACGAGATCCGTCAGCTGCTGGTGCAGAGCCGACGGGACAACACCCGTCGCCTGCTCTCAGCAGAGGTGGCCAGACTGGAGGCGCTGAAGACCGCAGAGGAGGCCAGTCAGCCAGCCAAGAAACCCGTCCAGCCCCCGGCAGACCGGGTCTATGAGAAGAAACTCACAGAGTATGGTAAGTGGAAGGCTGTGGTTTATCAAACTGCATTTTTGGAGGGGGACCAGCTCAATGAGGCCAAAATGTGTGGACATGCAGCGAAAAGCCGTGGAGTTGGGAATGTATGATTGACGGATTCTTGTCAGATGATTGATGGTTCTGGTAACAGCTTTTTATGTAGAGGCACAATGTTTGCCTGTTTCGATTTGGATGAAAGAGGTCTTGTCACTGTGACATGTTACATATTTTGGCCAGAGTTCGGATACTGGACAGTGGACAATTAAGAGGCGTATTTCGATTTGACATGAGCATCGAATGCCATTGGATGTGCCTCCCAACTTTGTTTTATTTTCAGCTTGGGATCAGTCGGACAAGTTCGTCAAGTTCTACATCAACCTGAAGAACGTGCAGAATGCCCCCGCGGAGAGCATCAAATGCAACTTCACCGACAAGTAGGTCCACCAACCACTATGGGGAGTCGGGACTCACTGTGTAGTTACGATTCTACCCTACACCTCTATTTGGGCGTTGGGACAGAAGCATGTGTTTTCCTTTTCAGTTTTTGTTTTTCAATATGATTTCGTTCTTGGGCGCTGCATGAAACCGATGGACCTCAAACTATATTCGTTTCAAATTCTTAGCCATTGTTCAAGAATGAAGTCGTAAAGGAAGTTCGGATTATATCTTTGACCCAGTGCTATTTTACGTAAGTGAAAAGAATAGGCCCATTTTTCTCATTTATTCATAATAATTTACCTTTTAGACTTTGTTTACGATGAATTGTGATCTAGATATTCACTTGGTAAGCGTGGGACTTATCGTAACCAATCATAGATACGGAATAAAGATACCAACCGTACCGAGCACAAGGTGGATATGAAAACGTTAAAAACTATTACCAGATGAGACTTGAAAGGCCAAGTTAACGTTGATATGCTCATTGGCTAATATTAAAACGAAGCTTAGGTTGCACTATCTAGTTTCATCTAGTCTTTAGCCTTTCATCTACTTCGGTTTAGCTCATGTTACGAGCGCCCTTGACCTCTCTGTGCAGTTCGTTTTCACTGCGTGTTGAGGGTCTGGACAACAAGAACTACAACTTCTCGCTGAGCAACCTGCTGAGGCCTATCGATCCCGCTGCCAGCAAGTACAAGGTCAAAACAGGTCAGTAATGTGTGGTGTCAGTTACCTAACGGTCATTGCTGAACTAGAGAATTTATTAGGAAGTAGCAAAGTACAGCTCTTCATGACTCAGCGGCCTAGAGGGCGGACTTTCTCTTTAAATTCCCTTAAACGCATCATTCGTGGCGTCTGCAAACGGTCACCTTAGGATTGAGAAGATATTTCAAACTCTGCTGTGCTGTCGCTAGTGAAAGCAGTAATAAGAAATCAGTCTGTAGTTGTCACCGACGAAAGTGTTCGGACCAACCCGCGCTACCGCTGTGCCGCCGTGATAGCCGGCCGGCCGCCGTGACACCGCGGCGCCGCCGCCGCTCGCTGCAGCCGTCCCGCCGCCGCACCGCCGTCACCCCGTCCAGACTCAGGATGAGTTGTGAGGCATCGTGCAGGGCGGGGCCGCGAGCAGACGCGGCCGGCGGTCGGTACGCGTGCCGCCGACGCTGCCGAGCCGCAGCAGCGCCGCGGCCGCCACCGAGACCGAGATATAAATTAAAGACACGTCGTTTTAAGGCACGTAGGCCGCCAAGCTGGCGCCTTCAGCCACCTCCCCGCTGCAGTGCAAGTTCGCACTCGTTTTGCACACGTCTTAAGCATTGCGTATAAAATGTGGGTCACGTACGACCCCGGCAGAGTCTCTCTTCGACCGTCGCGCTGTGCGCACGGACTGATCTGCCCCGCTCGACGCCTCGCCCGGCTGAGCGGGGACAGAGTACAGAAGCACGCGCGCAGACCGACTCTCCTGCGCGCAGCCGCGCCCGGCGGGGCAGTGTCAGTGCTTCAGATTTGTACAGTGAATGTGAATTGTGCTCCGTGTCTGCGTGTTTCATCTACCGGTTTTCTTCACAACTGCTTCCGCTTCTTGCTTCGCGTATACTTCAATAAATCCTCTACGGGAAATCTTCACGTCTATCTACTACTGAAAATCGCCGAATATCAAAAACCCAGGAGCTCACATAGCAGGCGGGCGGGCTACGAATGTCGCACAAACTCACCAAATAAAATACAGTCCACATCCAACCAGAAAAGAACTCCGAACGACAGTTTGTCGGCGACATTTGCTGGTCCTCCGGGCCGGATCCTGAACTATGGCAAGTGGAGAAGCAAGCCCGTCTCTAGAGCGAATGGGTGAAAGTGACAAAGAAGAAACCGCTGACATGGAAGAAGTACCAGCTGAACCAGCCGCTGCAGGTCAAGGACAAGCTGCAGTGACTACAGCCCGAGAAGAACCACGAGAAGGCCAATGCTCCAACGGGGAGTGGTGGCACCTCAGACAGGTGAGAGGTCGTCATCGGGCGGCTCTCACAAGGATTTTCCGGCGCGCTGAAGCTCTCGTGACAGAAAGAGCCTCACGCGTCCAGTTTGGAAATATCCGCAGAGAAATGGACAGCGCTTTCCAAGCGTTGATGGCCGTTCACGAATGTGTCTCTGGATACACGCAGAGTGAGGAAGAAAAAGAAAATGAGGCTCAGTACTTAAACGAAGTTCGTACGGAGAAAGAGAGAATCGAGGAGAAAATCGAGACTTTCATGACAAGCACCACAGACGAACTACAGCTGACCTCTACGAGACAGACTGACTTCAGCGAGGATGGAGGAGGGCAACCTGAAGACGGCTTGGGACGCTCAGTGTCACGCATGACCCGTAGCGTCGCTCGCCGAGCAAGGTCACAGGTCAGTGGCAGCTCGGCGGCCTCTCATGCATCAGCTGAAGCCAGGATATCATCCAAACTGAAGGAGCTGCGCGTGCGCCAGCTGGAGCGAGAAAGGACACAACTGACACGAGAACAAGAACTGCGCGAACAAGAACAGAAGATAAGGCAACAAGAACAAGAACTGCAATACGAGAGAGACCTTCAGAAAGCCAGAGATGAAGCTGAAGCTGCCCGACTGGAGGCGGACCTGAGGGAAGAAATGGAAGCCGAGCTCAATGCAGACAGGCGAGACGATTTTATGGATGAAAATCTGGGAGAACCAATCACCGAGAAAAGCGTTTCTCAAAGGCCGAACTGCTCCAGATCACAACTTCGTTTCTCAGAGCCAGTCTCCATTACGCCCAGAGAACCTCTAGAACCTCTAACCGAAATCAGGGAAGAACCTCCGCAACTAGAACCTCCACGAATGGCGCCCAGTCCCGGTATGTCCACAAGCCAGACGTCATGGATAGATCAGCTGCGACCGACAGCTGCATCACGTCCGGCTCCTACGACATCCGCGTTCACTAAGAGCATCCCCCGTCTCCAGCTGCCGACCTTCTCAGGCAAGCCGTCTGAGTGGCCGCGCTGGATCGGACTGTTCCGAGCGCTCGTGCACGACCAGCCATCGCTCAGCGACGCGGAAAGAATGGCTCATCTGCAAGCGTCAGTGATGGGACAAGCGCAAGAAGCCATCGCTGGCATGTTATTTGACGGCAACCTCTACCAACAAGCCCTCAAAACTCTACAAGATCGTTTTGGCCGAAGCACGGACGTGATTAAGGTACATCTCGACAAAGTGTTCTCGGCTGAACCTCCACAGAAGAACAGTGTTCGATCGTTGGAGTACTTCCATTCCGCCCTGCACTGCGCGGTCACGCTCATGCAGGCCCAAGGATATGAGGCGGACCTGTACAGCACAGAGAATCTCAGAAGAACGGTGGTCAAACTTCCAGAATATCTAGGGCGTGAATGGGGTAAACATGTGCTCGAACTCCACCCAAGACATCCATCACTCATCGACCTGGACGTTTGGCTGCTGAAGCAGGTCCAAATTGCATCGCTCTGCCAAACCGCTGAAACGCCGAGTGACAGGCGAGGGAGAACCAGAGACCAGACGACTAAGCGAGCAGCGCATGCTACCGCAACTTCGTCACCAGCCTCTCCATCAACGGCACAGAAACCAGGTGGGAATGCGTCGTGTCCGAAGTGCGGTGGTGAGCACAGACTGCACCAGTGTCGTGAGTTCAAAAATCTGGACGTCGAAAGAAGAATCGACCTAATATTCGACAAGGGACTGTGCCTCTGGTGTCTGCAAAGGGGACATCTTGCCAGAGAATGTCACAACACCAAGCTCTGTGGTGTAAATGGGTGCCAGAGACGCCATAATCAGCTGATACATGGCAGCACCAAACGAACCACGCCCCTCACCGACCGCTCGGGAGCCGTAGCCAGTCGGCCTGCCAATGAAACAACTTCAGCGGCAGAAGGAGAAGAGGTACGTGTGGTGGCTGCATCTACCTCCATCGGAAAGACGGGCGGAACTCTTCTACAAATCGTTCCAGTTCGAATTCATGGAAAGAAGGCAGGAACTCACCGTGACACCTATGCTCTTCTCGATTCAGGGTCAGAATCTTCCTTCTGCAGTGAAGCTGTGCTGAACCAACTGGGAATCACAGGACAAGACGAACAGCTGTGTCTTCAGACAGTTGAAGGAACTGGAAAACCTCAAGCATCAACTAGAGTGAAGCTAGAGCTGAGCTCTGTGGCCCCTGGGGAAACTCGAAGAATCATCGTGCCTGAGGCGTGGTCTGTTCCATCTCTCGACATCTCCATGCCGAACGTCTGCAAGAAGCAGCGGGAAAAGTGGCGTCACATCAAGGACTTGGACATTCCTCAGTGCTCCCATGGACAGGTGGAACTGTTGCTCGGAGCTAACGTCAGCGAAGCAGTCATCCAGCAAGAGGTCCGGGTGGGTCAACCAGGCCAACCGATAGCTGTACGTACTGCTTTTGGTTGGACCCTGACTGGCGCTGTGTCCGACCTGCACCCTGGAAAACATGGACGAACTAGAAGAGCGATGTTCATCCAGAAAGGCTCCACTGCTGACGAGGAACTGGATAACATGCTGAAGGACTGGTGGACAACTGAATCCTTCGGAGCCAAGTATGAAAGGTCAGTGTCACAGTCGAAAGAAGACCGTCGAGCGCAAGAGCTTCTAGAGTCAACAACCACCAAGTTAACCGGCAACCGCTACGAGACTGGCCTCCTCTGGAAGACTGACGACGACACGCCGTTTCCAGACAGCAAGGTGATGGCTACAAAGAGACTACACGGCACCGAGAGGCGTCTGGTAAACGATCAAGAGAAAGCAGCAGCTTACCAGGCCACGATCGATGCATATGTAAAAAAGGGCCACGCCAGAAAGCTGTCCAGGGAGGAGGCGCAGCTCCGCCTGCCCAGACGTTGGTTCCTGCCACACCATGCCGTGACTAATCCCAATAAGCCAGGCCGCTTCAGGATAGTCTTCGACGCGGCAGCCAGATCGCACGGGACATCGCTGAATGACAAACTCCTGACCGGACCAGACCTGCTGAAGAACCTCACCGGCGTCCTGCTCCGTTTCCGAGAAGAAAAAGTCGGCATGGTGGCAGACATCCAAGAAATGTACCACCAGGTCCGTGTCATCGAGAAGGACCGACCTGCGCTCAGCTTCCTGTGGCGCGACCTGGATCAAACTAGAGAACCAGACATCTACGAGATGCAGGTGACCATCTTCGGCGCCAAATCGTCTCCAGCATCTGCCAACTACGTCCTCCAAAGAACAGTCGCGGACCATGGAGAAGACTGCGGGCTGCCAAAGAAGGCCGTGGAAACTGTGAAGAACAGTTTCTACATGGACGACTTCTTACGATCAGAAGAACATGAAGATGATGCGTTGAAGACGACGAAGCAGGTGACAGAGACACTCTCCCGAGGCGGCTTCCATCTATCTAAGTGGGTAAGCAACTCGCGGCGCGTCCTGGAGAGCATTCCCCGAGAGAAGCGCGCCCAGCCGGAACTAGACCTCACAGAAGCGGAGCTGCCCACACAAGGCGCCTTGGGAGTGGTCTGGGACGCTGAAAAGGACAGTCTGAGCTTCAGATTCCGAGACTCAAGCGTCCCGATGACAAAGCGGGGAGTCCTCCAAAGGACTGCGTCGATCTTCGATCCTCTGGGGATCGCCGCGCCCTTCGTCATCAGAGCCAAAATGTTCATGCAGCAGCTCTGGACCAAGCAACTGGACTGGGACGACGAGCTGGATCGTGAGGAGCAGAAAGAATGGGAAGAATGGCTCCAAGAACTGCCAGCACTGAGAAACATCAGTGTCCCACGCTGCCTCCGTCCAACATCAAGTGACACAATAGCACGTCAGCTTCATGTCTTCTGCGACGCATCAGAGGGAGCGTTCGGAGCAGTCGCTTATCTCCGTACGACCTCACCAGACAGCACGCATCACTGCTCGTTCATCATGAGCAAGACACGAGTTGCACCGCTGAAGAGACTGTCGATCGTCAGACTGGAGCTGCAGGCAGCAGTGCTCGCAGTGCGCTTGGTGGACGCGCTCCAAAAGGAGATACCAGATCAAGTCAAGAAGGTCACCTACTGGAGCGACAGCCGGGTCGTCCTGCAGTACATCAGCAACGAGAGCAGACGATTCCATACATTCGTCTCAAACAGAGTGGCAGAAATCCACGACCTGTCAGACAAAGGTCAGTGGCGTCACTGCCCAGGACGACTCAACCCAGCCGATCTGTGCTCCAGGGGTGAGACAGTGAAGGAGCTCGCCGACAACCCTCTCTGGCTATCCGGCCCAGACTTCCTCCGAGGCGACGAAGAAGGGTGGCCAGAGCAGCTTCACGTTCAGAAGCTGGCTGAAGAAGACGTAGAAGTGAAAGTTGGAGCCTTCGCCACAGTCACGGTGAGGGATCCAAAGGCAGCACTGCCGACACCGAGCAAATTCTCGTCTTGGACAAAATACAAGCGCACGGTGGCCTGGATCCTGCGCTTCCTCCGCAACTCGAAGCTGAAAGGCGAGCAGAAGCGACAGCGAAACCTAGGCCCACTGACCGTGTCAGAGCTCCATGACGCGGAGAAGACCATCCTCCAGATGGTGCAGGCGGAGGCCTACAGGACCGAGCTGCACCACTTACAGGCGGGTCAGCAGCTCAACAAGAAGAGCGGCATCGCCGACCTGTCACCAATCCTGGACGCTGATGGCATCTTACGAGTCGGGGGGCGACTAGGAAATGCCCCACTGGACGAAGACGCTCGCCATCCCATTCTACTCCCAGCAGGTTCTGATGTGGCGAGGATGGTCATCTACGAAACGCACCGTCAGCTCATGCACGCCGGCGCAGAACACACCCTGAACGAAGTTCGCCAGAAATTCTGGATTCCGAGGGGTCGTTCGCAGGTAAAACGAGTCCTTATCGACTGCGCCATCTGTCGCAAGAGAAGGGCGAGACCTCAGCCTCCAAGAATGGCCGATCTTCCCGCTGACCGGTTTAACACCTCCCATCCGTTCAGCTTCGTGGGTATCGACTATTTCGGACCGCTCACAGTCAGGCGGTTCCGCAAGACGGAAAAAAGGTACGGCCTGCTGGTGACGTGTCTGGCCACGCGAGCCATTCATCTGGAAGTGTCCAACAGCCTGGATACTGACAGCTTCCTGATGGCCTTCCGACGGTTCGTGGCACGCCGAGGTCGTCCAAAGAAGGTTTTCTCCGACAACGGAACAAACCTGAAAAGCGGTGAACGTGAACTCCGAGAGGCACTAACACAGTGGAATCAGCAAAAGATCTCTGATGAGCTGAGCCAGCAGCAGATCGAATGGTGTTTCAACCCACCAGCCGCGAGCCACATGGGCGGCATATGGGAAAGAATGATCGGCGCAGTCAAGAGAGCGCTATCGGTCGTGCTCGGCGGCGAGGTGACAACAGACGAGGTGCTGTCAACTGTCTTCTGCGAAATAGAGAGCATGATCAACAGTAGACCGCTGACACACGTCACAGACGATGTGAGAGACCTGACAGCTCTCACACCGAACCATTATCTCTTGGGGAGGGGAAGCCGTTGTCTTCCCCCTGGAGTCTTCAGCAGCCAGGATCTGCACTCCAAAAAAAGATGGAGGTACGTTCAAGCACTGACGGACCATCTCTGGCGAAGATGGAAAAGGGAGTACCTCCATACCCTGATCCACAGGAGAAAATGGTATGCCGATCGACGGAACCTAGCAGTCGGCGACGTGGTGCTGCTAGCAGAATCTGGCACGCCCCGAGGTCACTGGCCGCTGGCGCGCGTGCTGCAAGTGTTCCCGGGGCCTGACGGCCGAGTCCGCGCCGTACAGCTCAAGACGGCAGCAGGTGGTACGTATACCCGGCCTGCCACGAAGGTGGCGCTTCTGGAACTTGCCCCGTCGCCTCCTCAGCCATCTCATTAGCCGACCGAACGCAAACAAGAAATGATGCTGGCTGACGAAGGACTGACCAGCCAGCGCCCCCGAACCAGTTAAAGTAAGGAAGAGTGTTGTGCGCGTACGTGCTTACCGACGCACTCACTCTTCATTCGTGTTTTGCTTTGTGAATATGAGCCTCGTAACTCGCGCATAACGGCCGTTTGTGTTTGGTAGTTAATTCGATTTAGGCGTGTAAATCGTACTTGTTTGAACGTCTTTGTCGGTGATCGTGTCATTTTGTGTTCTCCCTGTGGTCAAACACGGGGGTGGAGTGATGTCACCGACGAAAGTGTTCGGACCAACCCGCGCTACCGCTGTGCCGCCGTGATAGCCGGCCGGCCGCCGTGACACCGCGGCGCCGCCGCCGCTCGCTGCAGCCGTCCCGCCGCCGCACCGCCGTCACCCCGTCCAGACTCAGGATGAGTTGTGAGGCATCGTGCAGGGCGGGGCCGCGAGCAGACGCGGCCGGCGGTCGGTACGCGTGCCGCCGACGCTGCCGAGCCGCAGCAGCGCCGCGGCCGCCACCGAGACCGAGATATAAATTAAAGACACGTCGTTTTAAGGCACGTAGGCCGCCAAGCTGGCGCCTTCAGCCACCTCCCCGCTGCAGTGCAAGTTCGCACTCGTTTTGCACACGTCTTAAGCATTGCGTATAAAATGTGGGTCACGTACGACCCCGGCAGAGTCTCACTTCGACCGTCGCGCTGTGCGCACGGACTGATCTGCCCCGCTCGACGCCTCGCCCGGCTGAGCGGGGACAGAGTACAGAAGCACGCGCGCAGACCGACTCTCCTGCGCGCAGCCGCGCCCGGCGGGGCAGTGTCAGTGCTTCAGATTTGTACAGTGAATGTGAATTGTGCTCCGTGTCTGCGTGTTTCATCTACCGGTTTTCTTCACAACTGCTTCCGCTTCTTGCTTCGCGTATACTTCAATAAATCCTCTACGGGAAATCTTCACGTCTATCTACTACTGAAAATCGCCGAATATCAAAAACCGAGGAGCTCACATAGCAGGCGGGCGGGCTACGAATGTCGCACAAACTCACCAAATAAAATACAGTCCACATCCAACCAGAAAAGAACTCCGAACGACAGTTTGTCGGCGACAGTAGTTTTTTATATTCTCCCCTCACCCAGGTGTTCTGACCTCCCCCCGCCCTCCCCGCCAGACTGTGTGCTGGTGATGCTCTCCAAGCGTTCCTCTCAGTCGTGGTCGCACGTGACCGCGGCGGAGAGCGCGGCCGACGAGGCACGCGCCGCCAAGTACTCATCTCCCGACAAGACTGACGCCGGCGGCGACCCGGCTGCCGGCATCATGGACTTGATGAAGAAGATGTATGACGAGGGAGATGACGAGATGAAGAGGACGATCAAGAAGGCGTGGGCCGAGGGCCAGGAGAAGCAACGCTCTGAGGGCGGCTTCGGGGGACTGGGAGGACTGGGAGGCATGGGAGGGCTGTGAGCGGTGTGATGAGGTCGGGGGAGCGGCGCGGGAAGTGACGAGTGAAGACCAAGGGGCACAACTGTACCCCGTCCCCAGCAAAGGAAGGTGAGGAGGGTGGTTTGTATCAGGCTGGCCATGCCATGACGGGTGTGTCAGTGGTCGGCGTTTGACGCCAGCGGCGACGAGTAAGGTCTCAGTTTTCTCCCCAGCCGGAGATTTGTAACGTCTCTGTTTTGTATGCATTGCGTTATATTGTGATCGTCTTTTTGCCAAGGCTGCCAAACCGTACACGGCGGAAAGATGTCTTTGGTGCAGTGTCCCAAAATTGCATTTCGGCTTGGGTGTCAGAGGGGAAATTGCTTTCCAAAAATGGGGATAAGATTGGAAAATTGCTGGCCAAGATGAGGCCCAAAAAGAGTGGGAAAAGATCAATAGCATTAAATTTTATACATGCGTGATAAAATATTAGATGTACAACGATTATATTCACGCTAATGTTTTTCTTCGTAATATTGGGAGTGGAAAATTGTTCTTCAAAATTGGAGGTGAGAGTGCGAAATGATTTTCATTTGGATGTCGTTTCCCACCCAAAACAACAAATTTTGGGACACTGCTTTGGTGTTGTTATTCCCTAATCTGTTCTGTCCTATATTGTATGCGAAGCTGTTTTGATAAAGCTCTGGTCCATGACTCGATTTTTATTATTATTATTACCTGAAGTGTGGGACGGTGGCTCGGAAGTTGGTAAAGTAATACATTATGTAGGATAAAGATGTACGGCGTTACGGCGTTATGCCAAATATTAAAAAGTGACAGCGTATAGAAGCAAAGTAATTTTGAGCAGCACCTTTCACGTAGAGTTGATGCAATGCGACCCATGTCAGAGCATGCAAGAAATTGCGTTCATACAGCGTCTCTCTACTCGCTGATCTGCCTCAGCAAGTCAGCAGCCCATCCTTGGCGACCCTCTTCCGGCCGGTGGTTTGCAGAATGTCATTTTAGTTTGTATTTTTCGGTAAACAGCGAAAGAGGTTAATGTAGCAAGATGCTATCTGAATCCAGCAGATGAAGGGCAAACACGTCTGACTGGATTCTACGCAGTTCACGATACATTATTCATAAAGTAGTGGGGTTCAGGCGCCTGCTGATGGTCGCACTGTAATATCTGATCCCTAGAAGGCACCTAACAACACCCGTGTAAAGTTATGTCGACCAATGCCGCCGCAGTCCACTCTCAACTACCAATCACTTATCACTTTTCCACTAAAATCATTCACGTGATCTCCGCATAAGTGCTTGAAATGGTGTGCGCTGTTTTATCGTCTGTGCGATTAATGCTAATTAACTCCTGTCTAGAGCTTAGCTGTCTATGAGTCCACTGTGGTCTGTGTGTGTTGTCATACAATTCGACGCGTGGTGTCAGTGTTGCGAAGAAGTCTTTCACGCGACAAAGTCGAACTTTCCGAATGACAGTCACCAAACTTTTGTAAAATCGGAAACAAGAAGTCCGAGCCTGAGTCTCATTGCACCGGGAATCGCAATTTGCCCTTGCTTCCTTCTAAGTAAGAAGATTGCTTAGTAGTCTTGTATAGAGGAAACCACTGTCCTAATACAGAAGCTACATGAGAAGTTCCTCAACGCATAAGCACACACTAGCTGTCCTTCGTCTCCTTTCCCTCTCCTTCTGCGCCCCTCGGCTCTCCCATCTTCACTTCCGGCAACTCTTCTCACCAGGTCGTCCTCTACTCCCTGGGCACAGCAAGCAGTGGCAGCTTCTTGCCCTTTGGCGTCGCCAGGAAGCCATCGTCCTCGAGCGGCATCGGGTGCGGCGGCGTCTGTGGCGTCGGCTTTAGTGTCAGCTGCCGCATCATCGACGCCAGGGCGATCTTGGCCTCGAACAGGGCGAACCGCATGGCGATGCAGTTGCGCGGCCCGCTGCCGAACGGGATGTAGGCGCACGGGTGGCGCTTCTCCTTCACCTCTGGCAGGAAGCGGTCCGGGTCGAACTGCAGCGGGTCCGGGTACAGCTCCGGGTCGCGGTGCACTCCGAACACGGAGAGGAAGACCAGCGTGCCGGCGGGGATGTGGATGTCCGTGCCCGGCAGCGTGTAGTCCTTGCTGCAGACCCGCTCCAGCCGCGCCACTGGAGGGTACAGCCGCAGCGTCTCCGAGATCACGCGGTCCAGGTACGGCATGTCCATAATGGCCTCGTAGTTGAGTCCGCCGTGACGCTCGACGGCGTCGTCGACCTCCTGCTGGACGCGCTGCTGGATCTCCTGATCCACGGCCAGGCAGTAGGCGGCGAACGTCAACAGCGTGGATGTGGTATCGTATCCGGCGATCAGGAACAGCGACGACTGCGCCACGATGCTGCTGTCAGAGAGGATCCGCTTGCCGTCCTTGTCCTTGGTGTCCATCAGCAGCTGCAGGAAGTCGCGGGTGGAGCTGGGGTTCTTCTCGCGATGGGCGATCGTCTTCATAACCACGTCCCCGAAGAAGGCGCCAATCTTGACGCTGTAGTCGGGACAGTATTTGGCGATGCTGTAAGGAAGGAACGTCTCGGCTAAGAAGCGGATAACCATCAGCGGGTGGAAGCTGAGAATTTTGGCCGCGTTCGTCGCGAACTGGCTGTTCGGGTCGGTGAAGGAGTTGCAGTTGACGCCGAACGCGCACGCAGCGATGTTGTCCATCGTGAAGCGACCGAAGGCGTCCTTGACTTCTACCACGCCTGTCTCCGCCATCTGCTTCTCCACGTACTTGGCCAAGTTCTGGGCGTTGTCCAGCGTCACCTGGTGCATGGCCTTCAGCTTGCTGGCAGAGAAAGTGGGCGACATTACCGCTCGGGTCTCCTTCCACTTGGCGTCCCTCAACAGGATCAGCGTCTCCTTCCAGAACTCTGCGCCGAACTGGTCGCGCTGGTTGACAAAGTGGTCAAAGTCCTTGATGGTGATGGAGCGGATCAGGTCGAGATCGCCGACGAACAGCACCGGATGGTGCATCTCGAAGAGGCCGCAGAACTTCTTGCCGCCGTGCTCGTAGTACAGCCAGTTGTCCATCTCAAAGAAGCCCGAGAACATCTTGCCCACCTCGTTGCCCCAGGGCAGACATGGTTTGGGTCCGGACACACCGCGCGACTTCCAGAAGTCAAAGTTCTTGGTGAAGCTGTAGTAGGCCCAGGCGAGCAGCACCACGATCACGGTGAGCGGTACAGGCGAGATGAGCCAGCGGAGCACGGCCAGCGGCGCCGTCATCAGCCACCCCAACATGGTGCCGCCCGGTGCTCCTCTTCAAAGACTTACTTTCGCCGCCCTCCCCGTACAGCGCCGCCCTGCACGTCGACACGAAAGCCCTGCTCTGGCGGCAGTGGCGGCTCACAACAGCCGACTCATGGTTGGGCGGCGGTGACCGTGGAGTAGCTGAGGGTACGCGACCTTGGAGCGACACGGCAGCCAGTGCGCACGCGCGGGCTGCATGAGTCGGCAACTTTACTCTCCGTGGAGACAGCCGGCGCGCCTCAGTTCTGCCGTGCCGACTGCCCCTCCCCCTGCGCACACACCCCCAAGACGAGCCCCTCCCGGATACGGTGCCAACTGACTCCTCCCCCCCCAACCACACATACACAAACACGGACCGCCAGATCCCGCCTGAGTCCCATCCACGGTTATCGACCAGTTGCGGGGAGCGCGAAACGCCTCAGCAGAGTCAGCAAGGTCTCGCTACATATCTTTTTTTGTCTCGCTCATCTCCTTTCTCCCCTTTTCTCTCTCCCCTCTTCTCTCTCTCTCACTCTCACTCTCTCCTCTCTCTCCTCTCTCTCGCTCTCTCTCTCTCGCTCACTCTCTCTCCTCTCTCTCTCCTCTCTCTCGCTCTCTCTCTCTCTCTCTCCCTCTCTCTCTCTCTCTCTCTCTCTCTCTCTCTCTCTCTCTCTCTCTCTCCTCTCTCTCTCTCTCTCTTTCTCTCCCCAACAACTCGTAGAACAAATCCAAGTGAACCCGTCGCCCTGCACCCTGCCTCTCCACACATCTACATACTTAGGTGCTGAACCGTAGGCTTACCTTTGACTTGGGGACGGAACTGTGCGCAGTGTGTTCTATGAGTTATGACCTTGACTTCCCAGTCTCCCTCCTCTCCAATAAAGATAAGAAAGAACCATCAAGTGCCATTGAATCTGATATGCTGCTTGTGAACGAACCGCGACTCCCGGCTGCCGACATCGACTGTGTTGTTTGCGTGCCCTTCAACCTATCTCACCAAGGCAGTGGCGGATCCAGGGGGGGGGGGGGAAATGGGCATTTGCCCCCCCCCCCCAACGGCATAATTTTAAAATTACGCATATGGACGATGCATGGAAAGAATCGATAAATTGTTATGGTCCCCCCCCCCCAAACCTCTGAGCTGGATCCGCCTCTGCACCAAGGTCAGGGACAAGGTCACGCTAAAAAAGCGCGATAAAAGGAACGAACGGACGAGATTGAGAAGTGCCCGTGCCGTGCGTGACTGTTTCACCCAGCGTGTGTATTATGCGGCTGGGTATGGCAGCCGTTGGAGATACTTTTGAAGTGATCTGAAAAGACGTTTCTGATGCGTGGGCATTGGCAGTTGTTGAAAGAACATTGGCAGTTGTTTAAATAATATTTTAGTCCTTGGACTGTCAGCGTATTTTTTTTTTAAGCTGGATGTTAGGTAGTTGGAGCGTCACCTACTTCGACCCCACCTGTGGCTGCCAGGACCCACTGTAATAATTATAAAATCATTATGCGTAGGTACCGAAGAAGAGACGTAACAACAAACTGTTCGGGTATAAGTCAAACCTGACTCCTTGTCTCCCGAGGCATGAGAACCGACCCGCACCTCCCTTCCAGTACCATTTTGTAAACAATCCGTCATAGATTGTGCGTTGTTGGCGACGAGCTACCAAAGTGGAACCGTGCTGAAGTCAGCGCCTCTCATGCCTTCAGAGGGGGGGGGGGGGAGGCGTGGAGGCCATTTCTTTTCAGCACCCCAATTTTTAACGAAACGAAGTTAAAAAGTTAACTGTTCGCGTTGGCCACCTGACCATCAATTTTGTTTATTGCTCCCTCGCCTCTTTTTCAACTCATTTTCCGGCTGTTGGTGTGATGACCCGACCCTGCGCTCCGTTCATTTAGGTACTTCAATTCGACTTTGATATTGCTAACATTAGACCGTTTTGTATGTATGTTGCGAAAGGTACGTTTTTGAGAATCTACGGCTACTTTTTCCCAGCGACGAGGACTGGGGTTAAACTTTATATTTAGTCACGTTGGAAGTAGAAACACTTCTTCGTTCAGCACAGCGCTTTCATAGATGGAGAATTGTGCCGTTTTATGGGTGCCCGGGCGCAGCAAATCTGCCGCACGCGGCTGCCTCCCTAGCGGTGACCTTGTCCTCCGCCGTCTGTTGCGGCTCCAAAGCCAAGCGGGCATGGAATTGGGAGAGCTCGAGCACCTATGTATAGTCCAGCACAATTATCCACCTATGAGCGCTTTCCATTTTGGCTAGGTGGACGCCCGACGGTCAGTTGAACCATCGACAACCGTCAGCCCAACCAGCCTAACTTCTTACAGTTGGACATGCTTGCAACTTGCAAGTAAGTCAGCGTCACTCGTCTGCGAATGGCATCTGGAGAAACTAGGAGTTAATCAGGAACCGGCAAAAATGAACCGGCGATGTTTATGCCTACCTACAAGTGGAAATGAACCAGCAATAAATGAATTAGCGACAAATTAACCGATAAATGACCACTGGATCAGTGAGAGGTCAAGTCGCTGCTAGCATAGTAGGAGTACAGGGCCCCGGCCTTGGTACTTACATACCTAAGAATCTGGCCCTAGCAAGTTATCCGATTTGATCAATTTGCTTTTATCTGATGACGATTGCTCAATGCTCAGTGACCCACCGCGTTCCCTCAATGCAAACTTTGGTTGACCGTGCTGACCTCTGCTCTGGTAGCTAAATGAACGGATGCTTTTTTAGTCTTGCGATTTCCGATTTACCAAGAAAGTATGCCTTAAGCGCGCCGTTTTTGCGTTGTGAGTGCCGAGTTTCATCGTTATCTGTATTCTGTAAGCTTCGACTTCATGTGAGGAGGCACCTAGTGTGGATAAAGGCAAAGCCCAGAAAGGGCCAGTCACGCGAGTTGCAACTATGGCATGGAAGTGATACCCCAGTAGCGTTCTAACATCTTAGTGGATTTTTTACCCCTTAGTTCTCACCTCACCAGGGAAACTGGTTCAGGTATCTGACTGAGCTACGCTGAGAATTGAGATACGCTGTTCATTGTTCATCTTATCGCCCGCGTAAGGGCTGGCAAGCTGCTTAGGTGATCATCGTCGTTTCCGCTGATTGCCGCCAGAGGCGCTGATCATTGTGGTTTAGTGTGATATAGATGTCGCCACCTGTCAGGAGAGTGCCGCACTGGAGATCGATTTCTCACCATAGGCCCGGGCAGCGCTTGTCGAACAGCTCTGCGGATCCGAAGGTTGGGACTTGAATTGTGAAAAACCGCCCGCTCGCCGCCAAACGCAAACACCGCAAAACGCACGCCCAAAACGCAAACGCAAACTTCGCAAAAAAACAATCGCCCGCCCTCCGAAAACCGCAGAAAAAAAACGCAAAAAACGCCGATAAAAAACGCCCGTCCGCCGCAAAACGCAAACACCGCCGCCCAAAAAAACGCCCGCATCGCCCGCCGCCAACGGCGAAACGCCGCAAAAAACGGCCGCCCGCCGCAAATCGCAACAACGCAAATAACGCCCGGCCGCCGGCAACCGCAAAACGCCGCAAAAAACGGCCGCCCGCCGCAAACCACAAAAAACGCAAAAAACGGCCGCCCGCCGCAAACCGCAAAACGCCGCAAAAAACGGCCGCCCGCCGCAAACCGCAAAACGCCACAAAAAAAACGCCCGCCCACCGCAAACCGCCGCTAAAACGGCCGCCCCCCGCCAAACGCAAACACCGCAAAAACACCCGCATCGCCCGCCCGCCGCCAAACAAAAACCGCAAAAAACGCAAACACCGCCGCAAAAAACGCCCGCAACGCACGCACGCCCGCCGCCAACCGCAAAACGCCGCAAAAAAACGGCCGCCCGCCGCGAAACGCAAACACCGCCAAAAACGCAAAAACGGCCGCCCGCCGTCAAACGCAACCACCGAAAAAGCAAACACCGCCGCAAAAAACGCCCGCCGTAGGCAAAACGCAAACACTGACGCATTAAGACAAATATGGCGCCTTGCGGCAAGTGTGGTGCATTCATATCTGCCGTTTAAGCAGCCATCCCTCAATCAAAGCGCACCCTAATCGTCCCATGTTCGACAAAGTTACGCACATTCTGCGCTTTGCGGCAAAAATGGCGCTTTGAGACAAACGTGGCGCACTGCAACAAACATGGCGCATTCGTTCATGTCGCTTAACAATTCATCCACCCACCAAATTCTAGCCCAATCGGACTTAAACTGAAAAAGTTATGTACATTTGAATATTTCACTATAAAATATCTCCGCAACGGAGGTGCCCAGATTTGCACGTGTGCCACGTGACCACCGGTGGTGCAAGCAGGGCTTGTCCCCTCACCGACTGACCCAATTTAGTGTTCTTGGCTGGTTCTGTTTCCACGCTATACGGCCACCAGTTGGCCAAAACACCATTATGTGGGAGGTACTCGGCTCAAACACGTGGCCACGTGGCACGTGCCGGACCTTTGACAGCTTAACGGCTCACGCCACGTCATGACCAATATAAGTGGCCATCGGCATGTAAAAGATGACCCCGGCCGGTGTCACCGTCTCTGAACAGTGGACGGCTAAACTTGAAAAAGGGGAAAATTGAGGGAAATTTTACCTTTCGAATATATAATTTCACCAGAATTTTCAGTTTTTCATTTTACAAAAAATCCGAGATAGCAGTTTCTTAGACCCTTTCATTTTGTGTCTATGCCCGTTTTCAGATCGACCCTATCATAAAAACTGACGGCCTGACGGCCATTTCCCCCATTCCCTGCATTTCACAATGCTAGTATATTTAAGCACCAAAATTGACCCTTTGCCACGGCACGTGCAATAGCACGTGCGCCACGTGACCACTAGCGCGACAAGCTGGACTCATCTGCTCACCGGCTGCGTTGATTTGGTGTCGCTAGGTGGAGTGGTTTCCACGCCATAGGACCCCCAGTTGGCCAATGTCGGATTTTCCCGGGGGTTACCCCATCAAACACGTTTGCACGTGGCACGTGCTTTTCAATCGCCCCATATATGACCCATACCACGTGGTAGCCGACACCCCGGGGCACAACATATTGGAACATTTTCAAAATCTAACGTGGAAATTTTTTACAAAATCGATTTGAAAATAATTTTTTGAAATTGCCATAGGCTCAACATGGGGT